ACATGCATACATACATACAGACAGATAGACACAGACACATACATACAGACAGACAGACAGACACACATACAGACACACACACACACAAGACACACAAAGACACATACATACATACAAACAGACAGGCACACATACATACAGACAGATAGACAGACACATACATACAAACAGACACACACACACACAACACATAAAAAAGACACATACATACAAACAGACAGGCACACATACAGACAGACATATACATACAAACAAACACACACACACACAAAACAAACAAACACACACGCACATAATATTTAAGTCACCCTCCTGTTTCCTACCTTTAAGCGCAGGAGGGTGACTTTCCCTGGGGTCCAGTGGCTCAGGTTGATGGGAGTCACAGTTCCCACGCTGACCCCTTCTGCTTCCTCCCGCGCGCGCTCTCAGTGATAGCTGAGAGGAGTGATGGGGAGTCACTTCCGCCCAGCGCTGACCAGCCTCCCTGAAAATCCATACCCGATGGGCACCTTAACATGCGGCCCCAGCAGATTGCCGCGTGGGCTGGGGCCGCAAATGATGATGGCATAATTATAAAATTAGAAAAAAACACTAAAATTATAATGGGAATTACAATTATTAAGCATTAGATTTTAGTGTTTTTTTTCTAATTTTCTTATTTTATAATTTGTGTAATTCCCATTACATCCTCTGCAGTATCTTCATTGGGTCTGCATAATTATAGGTAATACTCTTAGTGTATTATTTAGTTAATCTACCAATAGTTGATTTAAAGAGATATCGATCTGGATTAACAGTGTCACTACACCTCAATACATAAGAGAAAACAGCCATCTATGCTGTTATTCTATACTATTTAACCACTTAAGCGAAGTAGATTATTCGGTGTATACCATATTGGATCTGTCTCTAGCAGGTTTAAAGTTGTACACACCATACATATTGTTGTTATATTTGGATGTCTGTTGCAAGATACTCAGTATAACTGTACATATTTAAGCCATTTTTGGGTATAACAGCTCCTGGACTTTTTGAACTGTACCAAGGTGCTATTCTTTTCGACTCATAATCTTTACTAAGGTTTGTGCGAGTGCCTAGCCGAAAAGAGTTCCAGGCACTCGACGACCAAGTGCCGCTGCCCACGTTTGGGAGACAAAATGGCCGCCACTCCTTTGTCGACCACGTGCATTCGGTCATACGAAATGGCGGCCACCCAGGGGAAGCATTCATTAATTACTTCCCTTGCAGTTTCGTACTTAAGTTGCTGGTGTGAACGTTCTTATGAGGTACACGGGTGGTCCTCATTCGGGAGTCGAATGGATGGAGATGAACGGAAAAAAGTCTAAATTGGGTAAAACAGCCGAAATTGGCGGTAGGTTCTGTGGCAAACCTAGCCGCTTAAGACTGTATTTACCTTTATGTGATCTTGTTGCTTTAAGACTGCCTGAAATGTCCATGTTTCCTATTCTGTGTTTTATGTGAACGAGAGCATTCGTATGCTAGTGGCACGAAAGCCATTTAGTAGTTTCACGAACAGTGAATTTCAACACTGTTCGTGAAATGAACAAAGTACTGAATGGGAAACCACACACAGGGGGTCGTGTGGCTCCCATTACGGATGGCAACAATGTATCTTTCTGCAGTTAATAGATTTTCAGGGTGGCCGCTGTTCGAATACCGTCTTGGATCCTTTGTTAGCCCAGCGGTGTTCGGTCGTCGTGCGTCTGGGACTAAAATCGGCTACTCGACGGCACAAACACCGCTGGACTTCCAGGCCATTCGGGACCACGGTCTTTCTGTACTTTCTCTCTACATGTGTATTCATGACTTTTCTGTGGAGTTTATATTAAAGTGTATTTCGTGCAGCGTTCGGCTGATTGTGCTGGGATCTGAGCGGTACTTTCACGAAGTATGCGCTCAGACCCCAGCTATCTGCCGAATGGTCATTCGGTACAATGGCATGAATAATATATATAAGCTATGGATTTTTAAGTAAAAAGCCAGTTCTGCTGTACGGAGGGATAATCCACTTAACAGGATATTCTTATGGGAGTATCCCTCTCGTACAGCAGTGCATGGTGGGAGAAATGTCCTGTATATTCAGTTCCCCATGTAGTCCCCTACTGTACAACCCCTGTAAAGTAATTAAGGAAACCCCTTGCATGGGGAACCACATAAATACTGGAGCTTATGAATAAAAACCTCAGTTGACTCCCAGCCTATGTGTCGTCTAGTTCTTGGGAAGGAAGGATCCTTATAATGCTACTGGGATTATTGTATGCTGTACTTGCTTTACTGGATTATTGAATGTTTTTCCTGTCTACCAGTGCAGATACTGTGGACTATACTACCTCTCCGCTACAGGTTCCATCATAATATGTTTTCTACAATTTTGCTTGTTCATTATTACTCTGGTGAACAGCCATCTATTCACATACCTCGACACAGTGAAGAGATCAACTGACCCACAGGTGGCTTCCACACACTTAATCTTGGCAAATGGCAATCATTAAGTTGTTCATGTTTCTTTTAATTACCATGAAAAACAAGTGCTAAGTTCTTGACATTTCAAACAATGCCTATACTTCTTGCTGATGTTGATATCATCTGAGAAATATCTACATGTTCCTGCCTGTTCACCTATGCACTTGAAAATGAAAGAATTAAAAAGAAGAAAAAAAAATTTAAAAAATGAATATGCTTTTTGAGACTATTGTTTCCTTTTAATGAATCCCTAAAATTGGATTTATATAGCAGCACAAAACCTTTGCAAAAAAAAGGCTTATGCAGTGCAGAAAAGACGCAGTAAATGGGAAGTATTTTGGATTGTATTCCTTTGTCTTTATTGTTATAAATCTTGTACTGTTTGTTCATAAAAATGGTTTATCTTGGAGGGCAGAGCTACAGGCAGCCTGAGCAGACATGTTCAGCAAGAGCTCCATGCACATAAACGCATATTCAATTCATATTTATTTTGTTCGTGCAGAGATTATACATGTGGATTGCCACTGCCACAACAGCTGGTGCAATCAGATTTGTATTCACACTTAATCACATGGCATTAAAGAGAAACATGGCACTTTAAGTAAACAAGGTTACATCTTAAGCTTCATAAAACCAAAAGGAAATATTAACTTGGCTTACAGATAGCCTTCACTCAGCAGACACAGTGAGAATAACGGTCAGGCTACGACATCGCTTTACAGAACTGGGCTGAGCACACCTTTCCTAGTATCTGACTACATATGGTTATACAATCAATATAATACAGGCTATTAGTATTAAACTAACTACGCTGGATGAATCAAAAATAAATAAAAGGAACTGGCTTGATCATAAGTAAACAAAAATGATACTAAACACAGGAATCCACCGCTAGGTGAGAAAATCGGGCATATGCAGTCTCATGCCCTTTCATCCGGTTCCCGATTTACGAGGAAAACAATAACATACAAGCTCGGGGCGCCCCCATAGCAGTCCTCGAGCTTCTTTTCAAGCATAGCAGTAGGAACATTAAGAAAGATCGGCACATTTTTAAGTATAATAACATTAGTGTAATGTCAGTAGTAGGGTCAATTGAGAGGTTGTGAGTGTCTGGCTAGAGTGTCTGGTTGATACAAATAACATAAGGTATGCCAGTAATTATCGGGGTGTCAGCGATTCGGTGCTTAGTTGCTTGTTGTGGTGTAGTAGTGGTGGAGGTGCTGGTGTTCCCCACTGACCCCTTGGTGGCTTGTGTAGTCGTCTAGTGTTTGAGGCCTAGTGGGTGTAGGTGCATAGTCCTTTACAAAAGTAATTGGTCTCGTGCAGGCGCTTGGGAGTTTCAAAGCCCAATGTATACTCCAGGCTGTGTATGCTATTGCCTAGACTGGTGCAGCACATCAGTCCTGGTAAGCAACTCAAGTGAGCCTTGTTTCAGAGGGCCTGCATGGGGGTGCTTAGCCGATGCCTGTTAATGGCAGGCCGGCAACACTGAGACGCATGAGTCCACGTAGGTTTGCAAGCCCATTTAGTTGTCCGTCCTCTGGTGTCCTCAGTTTCATGCTGGTGCTGGAGCCACCATTATGAGTAAGGAGAACGAGTGTCCCTGATCGTTGGGCATTAAACCGGCCCATTTCTGTCACTGGGTCTCCTGGTGCTTTAGGGTGGTGAGTATTGGGAGCCCAGTATGAGCCCGTAGGTCTGGAGGGGAACTGTTGCGGGTTGTGTCTTGCCTGAGAGCACGGGGTCCTCCGACATGGTGCTGTCTCCTAGATGGGGCTGTATGCATGCGAGAGGGGTGGTGAGGGGGTAGCCTAAGGGTGAGTCTCTGTTAAGGCTTTGGGCGACTCACTAGTGGAGCTTACTTCGGGTCTTCCACCTCCTTCCACCCTATCCAAGTCACTCTCTGGGCCCATACTGGTGTTGCAGGCATCTGTGTGGCGTCCCTTGGGACTGATGTTGGTGGGACTTCTTTCGGAGTGCCCCTGCATTTGGCTCAGAAGTCCGGTCCGACAGTGGGGGCAGACAGGGCTTGGGTGCTGGGGCCCGCGTGGTTTCTATCATGTTGTGTGTCAGCGGTCCAGCGGTGCTGGTGATCAGAGGTTGGTGCCTCTGTCCTGGTCTGCATGCCCTAGTTGCCAGGATATCCCTCACCGGCGGGGGGAGGGGGAGAGGGGGTGTTCCGGGGAAACCTTCAGTAAGGTAGGCTGCAGTCGGCTGAGGGATCGGCCGCCTCTCCTGTGCCTTCTGAGTAGGCCGCAAGTAGGTCTCAGATCTATCCCCTGGATGCAGTCATCTATTTTGGTCGAGAACTCGATTTTGCATCTTGTCCATAGTAGACCCCTGTCCCTGGGGATTAAAAGCAGGCAATTGCGGTAATTTTGGTTGATTTTGGGCTGTTTCGACCAGAGCTCATCTGAAATGTGACCGCTCAGCTTAGCTGTCAAGCTCCGCACCCATATTCAAGCTTTTAACCACTATTTACCCGGCAAAACAATTACCTGCTGTCTTGTCTCACCATGGGGAAATGCTTACAAAGGCTGAATACCCGGAACACAGAAGATATTGGGGATCTCCTGCTCAGAGGATCACCGAGTGGTTCGCCCAAGATGGCGGCATTGGCTGCAAAGTCTTTCTTGGAGGGAAAGTTTCCCTTAGATGCTTTAGACGAGCTACCCACAACGGGTGGGGAGGCCGATACTTTAGCCACCAAGAGTGATATCAACTCCCTATCGAAGGAAATACGTTCACTGTTCCATGCTTACCCAGCGATAAATCGTGAGGATATCCACTACCTTACTGACAGAATCAGGGTGACTGAGGAGGAGGCCATTGAGATCAAGACCAAACAGGTCACACTGAAAGAGTTCATCGCCAGGATGACATGGACCCAGGAGGGTATAGAGGCAAAATTGGCAGAGCAGGATGACAAGAGTCAGCACAACAAAGTCAAAATTTGCGGTGTCCCAGAAGAAGTGGATGCGACTGGGCTACCTTAATATTTATGCCGTCTGTTCCTAAACCCACTGCTGCCCAAGAAAGCTAAAGCTATAATTCTAGATGGGTACTTACGCATAGTGAAACCTCTGAGAGGCCCCAGCTCTACTACATGAGCCCTCAATGTGCAGTTTGCACAATGTGCTCGCTCGACAATATGGAGGTCCTTTCTGCAGTGCACAAAGCCTCCTCCTCCTGCAAATTTGAGTCCCCTACCCTCACCTTCTACACCAATTTATTCTGAGCCACGTTACAAGGGAGACACATCCTCCACCAGATCACTGGCATGCTCTCGAACATGCGGTCCCATACAGGTGGGGTACTCAACACACTCTACAAGTTACCAAAGATGGCACCCTACACAGGCTTATGGATGCCACAGAGACTGCAACCTTCTTGAAGACACCGGGCCTTCCTGAATCTGCATGGACTTTTCCTTTTGTTTCCTTCAGTCCTTCTGTGGCTCACAACTTAGTTCAATCTATGCCTTACCAGACCGGGACTGCAAGAAAATTATTATATTATATATATTTTTTTTATTTATTTACTTGTTTCTTTTTCTTTTTTTCCCTTCTTTTTCTTTAATGCATACATATGTGGTATATATTGCACTGTGAAGCATTATCCCCTACGTTTCATTCATGATGGGGGGACCAACCCTCGTATAGCTTCCCACCAAGGGTGCTGATCTAGTGTATGTGTGGGTACCGGATTGAGCATTTATAAGCATACCGCTCAGTCCACGGCTGTAAGTTTTTGCGGGTGGCTATTGTGACCTGCCTTACTGCGTTAGGCAAATCCGTTTCCATGCTCTGGCACACCTTATGTCTCCACTGCCCTTATGCTTAAGTACGAACTTCCATTGATCACGAGTCCCAAGGTTTATTATCTTGTTTTCTCCTTCTCAGCCATGCATTTTCTCCTCCAGAAAGAGCCTCGTAATTATCTTCCCCTAGTAATGTTGGCTACCAACCCCTCCCCCACAGGCTTCAACTCCAGCATTAACATAGCAACATCTACCGCAACACATGTCACATTGGTTACAACACCCCATCCTAGGGCTACTGCATTAGTCCTATGACCTTCAATGTTTATTATCCTAGGATAACGTTCCAGCATATCTATAATATACAATTATTACTGTAACATGTGCTGTTTATTATGACTGACACTGCTGTTCCTCTGCAGTCTGTTTGAAACAATTGTGATGTAATGGAATGCTGATTTATGATGAGCGCACAACAAAAATAAAGAATGTAAAAAAAAAAATGGTTTGTCTTGTTATAAATCTTGTTGTACTGTTTGTTCATAAAAATGGTTTACATCAAACTGCAGTACATGGCCAAAGCATAACAAGTGTGTTCCTTTACCTGTACTGCCAAGTCATATTATTAGATTTATATTTGAAGAACATTGTAAGTGTGACCGAAAGGAATTGTGCTGGATGGGGTCTATATTTCTTCCCAGATTCTGCAAGGTTCCTATTTTGTGTAATTAGCCCCAGGGAAATGTATTGTAATAAATTTAAAATTGCACTTTATATAAGTGTATGTTTGGGCCCTGGGGTGGAGCAACTGGAGAGTAGGGTGGGTCAGTGCTCCACTCCACATTTTGGAGGTTGCTTGGAAACTGCAGGTGTGGAATCCAGTTCCATAGTTTCAACACTCTGATTTACCTCACATGAAAAAGATTGTTGATTGCAGGTGCTATTAAGTACTCAGGGCCATCTTAACAACATTATGGGCCCCCAGGCAAAGCAGTGCACTGGGGCCCTGCCTGCACAACCACTCACAGGAATAAAAATGTAGAATTGTTGATAAAATTAAGCTATTTATTGGTACCTCCAACAAATGCAATACAAACACACAGACTGCTAAAGACATACACACGGACTGCTGAATACACACACACGGACTGCTGAATACACACAGGGTGCTGTATACACACACAGGCTGCTGAATACATACACACAGGCTACTGAATACACACACAGACTACTGAATACACACATGGACTGCTAAATACACACACACGGACTGCTGAATAAGCACACACAGACTGCTGAATACATACAGGCTGCTCTATACACACAGAAAATAATGAATACATACACACAGACTACTGAATATATACACAGACTGCTGAGTACACACACACAGACTGCTGAATATGCGCACACAGACTGCTGAATACATACAGGCTGATCTATACACACAGAGAATACTGAATACATACACACAGTGGCGTACATACCAGGGCCGCCCCTGCGACCCGGTGTGTACCCACTGGGCCAGCCTCTTCCCCTGGGGGGCCCAGGAGCAGACCACCCCAGGGCCCCCCGAGGCTGGCCTTGCTGACACCCGGCAGGCGGGTGGCCGGTCGGGCAGGCGGTGCGCGAGGGAACACTCAGTGCTTCCTCTTCAGCTCCCTCGCCACCCGCCCAGGAGCCCAGCAGCACCACCACTGGACCCCAGGGAATCCCCCCAGCACTCCAAAAGGTAAGGAGGCTGGGAGGATTACATTAAAAAAAAATGTGTTAGTGTGAGTGTTAGAGTGTGTGTGAGTGTTAGAGTGTGTGTGTGTTAGTGTGAGTGTTAGAGTGTGTGTGAGAGTGTTAGTGTGAGTGTTCGAGTTTGTGTGAGTGTTAGAGTGTGTGTGAGTGTTAGTGTCAGTGTTAGAGTGTGTGTGAGTGTTAGAGTGTGTGTAAGTGTTAGTGTTAGAATGTGTGATTGTTAGAGTGTGTGAGTGTTAGAGTGTGTGAGTGTTAGTGTGTGAGTGTTAGTGTGAGTGTTAGAGTATGTGTGAGTGTTAGAGTGAGTGTGAGTGTTAGAGTGAGTGTGAGTGTTAGAGGGAGTGTTAGTGTGTGTGTCTGCTAGTGACTGTTAGTGTGTGTGAGTGTTAGAGTGAGTGTGAGTGTTAGAGTGAGTGAGTGTGTGAGTGTTAGAGTGTGTGAGTGTTAGTGTGTGAGTGTTAGTGTGAGTGTTAGTGTTAGAGTATGTGTGAGTGTTAGAGTGAGTGTGAGTGTTAGAGGGAGTGTTAGTGTGTGTGTCTGCTAGTGACTGTTAGTGTGTGTGAGTGTTAGAGTGAGTGTGAGTGTTAGAGTGAGTGAGTGTGTGAGTGTTAGTGTGAGTGTTAGAGTGAGTGTTAGTGTTAGAGTATGTGTGAGTGTTAGAGTGAGTGTTAGAGTGAGTGTGAGTGTTAGTGTTAGAGTGAGTGTTAGTGTTAGAGTGAGTGTTAGTGTGAGTGTTAGAGTGAGTGTTAGTGTGTGTGTCTGCTAGTGAGTGTTAGTGTGAGTGTTAGTGTGTGTGAGTGTTAGAGTGAGTGTGAGTGTTAGAGTGAGTGTTAGTGTGTGTGACTGTTAGAGTGAGTGTGAGTGTTAGTGTGTGTGTCTGCTAGTGAGTGTTAGTGTGAGTGTTAGAATGAGTGTTAGTGTGTGTGAGTGTTAGAGTGAGTGTGAGTGTTAGTGTGTGTGTCTGCTAGTGAGTGTCAGTGAGTGTGTTACTGTGTGTGTCTTACTGAGTGTGTGTGTGTGTTAGTGAGTCTGTTTGATGTCTGTTAGTGAGTGTGTGTTTTTCAATGAGAGTGTATGTTTTGTGAGTGTGTATGTATGTCTGTCGCTGAGTGTGTCTCTGTCAGTAAATGTGTATCTGTTAGCTAGTGTGTATGCGTCTGTAAGTGAGAGTATGTGTGTCTTCAGCACTTACCTTTCTCCAGCGCCGGACTCCCTTGGCGCTGGGGATCCCTCAGCCTCTCAGCTCCGAATGCGACCGCGCACGCATTCAAACCGCCCATAGGAAAGCATTACTCAATGCTTTCCTATGGACGTTCAGTGTGCTCCTCTAGCGGCTGTCAGTGAGACAGCCACTAGAGGCTGGATTAACCCTCAGTGAAACATAGCATAGCTATGTTTTCAGCTGCAGGGTTAAAAATAGAGGGACCTGACACCCAGACAACTTCATTGAGCTGATATGATCTGGGTGTCTGTAGTGGTCCTTTAAGTGTGTGTGCATCTGCATGCACTGGCGTACATACCGCGGTCGCAAGGGTCGCAGCCCTGTAACCCCTGCGACCAGGTGCCCACCGCCATGTGTTGCGGTCTGGCCCGCGCGCGGGGGGGGGGCCCACGGATCAATTTTCGCACCAGGGCCACATGGGTCATGTGTACGCCACTGCATACACACAGACTACTGAATACACACACATACTGCTGTGTACACAAACAGACTGCTAAACACAATTTATCTCTCATAACTCAGCTATGGAGACCTGTGTGTTGGACGAGTCTTATGGATGCCTGTGGCATTGCTGGGACACTCTGAGGGGACTGAGTGCTGCTTTAGGGTTCTGCTACCTCTCTACAGCAATAGAAATTTGGAGTGTGGCAGGAATAGGGCACATTGGCCCCAAGGCCAGCCTTTTGGATGTTACTCCATGGAGATACCACTAACTATATCTGACATTTGATTTACTATAATTTTTTTTCTCTCTTTTTTAGAGTTTAGTTAGCACTGCTTGGTGGAAGGCCAGACATTCTCATACCGATGAGCTGGGCACTCTTTCTGCAATGTTGGGGAGTAGTGATGTCGCGAACCCGAACTTCCGCAAATGTTCGCGAACCGGCGAACCGCCCGAAACGCCATTGACTTCAATGGGGAGGCGAATTTTAAAACACACAGGGACTCTTTCTGGCCACAATAGGGATGGAAAAGTTGTTTCAAGGGGACTAACACCTGGACTGTGGCATGCCGGAGGGGGATCCATGGCAAAACTCCCATGGAAAATTACACAGTTGATAGAGTCTGGTTTTAATCCATAAAGGGCAGAAATCACCTAACATTCCTAAATCACAATCAATATGGATTGACACCTGACATATGACATATTGACACCTTGACATATGGATTGACACCTGTCCTCAGAGCCCTGATGCACACGGACACAGAACAGAATAGAGACTGGTGCCCCTACATAGGGTCACTTGGCAGATATGGATTGACACCTG